AGAGATCCTTTGGGGGACTATAACCTGTTACCCCTAATTCATGTGAACAGTAAACTACCCCCCACACCCAGCTCCACCTCCCTGAATACTTATGCCTTGCTGTTGAATTTCTTTAAGACATATTTGCTAAAACTGTGTCCGTTGGAGTTTTAGCCTGTATTGCTTGAAGTGGATGGACAGTGGTGACCATAATTTCCCCATGTTTGAAAAAGGAAAGCTCTTGGAATAGCTTGTGTATATGTGTCTAAGGGTCATTTGCAGGGTTACCCTGGGTCACGTGGCTTTGCACCTTCAGAGCACCTCTACCTGTTCTTGCTGTCTCTCGTGGACCCCTCCTCCGCTTCTTGGTCCCAGCTTGGGTCCCACATCTGTGTCCTACCAACAGCCAGGATGGGAATGTTGAGAGACGTCATCTCCTGTGTGAACCTGTTCCATCTCTGCCAGTACGTTGTCGCCCCAGCTCTTGTAAGAAGGCTTCCTGGGGCACAAAATACTGGGCACAGGCATTCCAGAGAATTGGCCTACTCAGAATGGAGGAAATGAGAAAGGATGCATAAGCCCGTGTGGGGTGGGACTCGGTGGCTTGGTTGGGCCCCATTCAGAGCCTCAGTCCCTAAGCGAGTGTAGGTGCTTCAAGCAGTGGCTCCACACTGCACTTTGACCTCCTTCATGGAAAGTGATGAGTCAAGTGTGATGTTTTGTTTGGTTTGTTTTTGTAAAAGCCACTGGTTGTGTAAATAAATAGAGAGAATGTTAACAAGGAGTGCCTGGCATCTGGCACACAGATGGCAGGGCCCTGTGCAGGGCAGGGTCCAGAGCAGTGGTTCCCTGATGCCCATGCAGGTGTGGGCAGGACCCACTGGTCCTCACTGCCTTTACTGAGTGTTAAAGAAGTGGCTGGGACTGTAGGTGTTTCAAAAATCAAGGGAAAGAGGTTTATTGTACTCACAGCACTAAGAAAAGTATGGGAAATAATTTTTCTTAGGCAGAAAGGGGATTAAAATAACAATATAGGGGGATTTTATGTCTTCCTTAATACTAAGTGAAGTATTTTGGATCATCCCTAATTGGTGAAAGCATTGTCCTGTCCTGAGAGGTTCAAGGACCCTTCTCTGCAACTGGCTCTGTGCTCCTACATTGTCTCCGCGTATAAATGTAAGATGGTACCTGCCCATCTGAGACTCTGCAACCCTATATGGAGAAACATGTCTGTGCCTTCCTGGACAGCTCAGAGACCCTGAGTGAGACCAGCATATATGTTCATTAATGGACATATTATTCTTTCTTTAGCCAACATGAGCTAGGGCCCACCACCCCTTCCTCCTCCCTGAGCTGAAGAGGGAGGCAGTCATAACTTTGGAGCATTAGACCAGAGGACACCTGGGAGGGACAAGGGCCCGCCCCTTACCACCCCACCCCAGCCCTGTCCTTGCTGCCTGTGGGGCACAGTAAGAGGAGGGAGAGGGCAAAGGGCGTGTCCTGGGTGGACCCCACTCAGCCCACCTTGTGGCCCTGCCTTCCCCCGTTCCAGGTCAGTTGTCCCCTCTGGTGTGGCATTAACCAGGGCGCTGCCCACCCCCCAAGGAGGGAAGGGGGTGGCCTGCAGCTGCTGCCTGAAGTGCAGGGGGGCTGCCTTTTGTCCCACCTCCCCCACCCCCACCCTGCCAGAGTCCTTGAATGGGGCAGGATGTTTTTAGAAAGTGAGTGTCCCATCTGAGCTGCCCTCAGCTGAGAAATGTACAAAGGGAAGTATGCTGGGCGATGCTTACTCCTTATTTTATACTGGGACTATCACAATGCCCATTCTCTGAGTGCCCCTGGGTAATGTAAGGCAGCTCCTGTAGACTCAGGTTGGACCTCCAAGCTGGCCCAGAACACAGGCTTTTGGGAGTTAGGACCCACCCCCCATCAGGTTAGCCATAGGCCCCCCAGGGTCAGCCGTAGGCCTCCTACCCAAGCACACAAGTGGGAGCACATACACGCTTTTCCCCCATTGGAACATGCCTACCTCATAGAACTGTGGCCTTAACAGTTCCCCCCCACAATGTCTGTGCACCAGGCCCCCCAGAGTGGGCCCAGGGAGGAGCTGGGGTAGCAGAAAGGAGCTCCATTTCTCAAGCCCTGCCTGCCGGCCCCACCTCTGCTCAGCTGGCAGTCTGCATGCACGGCAATCTGCCGAGATGCCCATTCGGGGTCGGGCTCTGTGTTTTCCATCCCACTTTCCAAGCAGGTAGCCAGGCCTGAAACATCGGGCCGGAAGTGAACTTCTCTCCCATCTCAGGCCAAGACAAGCTCCTGAGGGTCTTAGTGACTCTGAGTGAAGGGGTCGAGTGGACAAAGAGGAAGGACAGAGGCCCGGGGTCAGGCTGGGTGGCTGCCCACTGCTAGAGCCCCAAGGGATGACTGGGCTGTGACCAGGCCCGGGGACTCAGCTTCAGCAGAGCCACCAGAACTCAAAATATAGGACCATGCAGGCCAGATGCTGGGTGATGGGACAGCCATGAGGATCACTAATCAGGGCCTCTGCATGCCGGACTTTGGCCCAACCCTGGAGGGGAGTCCTCAGGAGCATATAAAAACTACCGTCTTAAAAACAAAGAATCCCATTCTTAAATTATGGATCCTTCAGGTCAGTCACAAAGCTTGAAAAAATATCACAGACCACTTCAAAATGTGCCCCCAGCCTGTTCACATCCTCTGTCAGCTGGTGGATTTCTGTGGAAAAATTGATGTCCTACCATAGGGGCTCCTCAGGCAGGACACGCCACCTGACCTTGTCTCTGGGCTGGGCAGGGGAAGGCCCTGCAGGGGACCCCAGAAGCATAGGGCTACACAGGCCATACATCCTGACCTGTGCTTATATAGGCAGAGGGTGCCATTTCCAGTGTATGGCAGGGGATGGACTCTAGCCTGGGGACAGGGTGTTGGGAGGCTGCTCTGAGCAAGAGCTGTTCAGTGGGTCCTGATGCATTATCAGAGTCAGCCTGGGGACAGGACTGGGGCCGGGGTAGCAGAAAGACAGAGCAGAGGTGGATCATGCCCCCTTGGTGTGGTGTCCATGTGCATCATGGACAATGTAGGTGTCTGGCGAGTGACCCATTGGAACGCCAGGGCAGGAAGGATGCATGAGAGGGGGATGACAAAGGCATGGCAGGTCCCCTGAATGGAGCTCTTATGGAGAGTCACAGGCCAGGCTGAGTCACCTTTTCAGTAAAAGACCCAGCAGGGGGCTAGGCAGATCCTTCCTCCAACAGCAGGGGTGGGGGCTGAGTCTCAGAAAGATCTGGAGGCGCACCACTGCGTGTTAATAGTCAGAGTCTGATGCCTGATAACTGCCTAAAACCATGGAGTGAGAACGCAGGGTGAGAATTCTCAATACAATGAATCACGATCCCGGAGGAAGCTGTTTACAAACACTGCCACCCAGGCCTGACCTCAGACCTGTTGAATGGCCTGCTCCACAGTGATCCAGACACACAGCCTGGTCACTCACTCTGCACAGCACCCCAGTGCCAGCTTGGGGGGCAGGGAAATGCCCCTCATGGGGGGCATCCTGAGCTCACGCTCCCAAACAACTGGCCCTCCTTCAGTGGGCCACAAGGCTTCCTTCAGTGAAGAGTTCCAGGAATATTCATCATCTGGAAAAGGTTGAGTCATCAATAGAGTGGGGGAGGTAGAAAGAGCTCAGCATCTGAGTCAGGCCACGGCCAAGTCCTGGCACCACCACTGACCAGCTGTATGCCTTTTGATAGGCATTCTAGCCCAGCTCCCTTGCCTGTAAAATGGGGCATCCAGACATACCTAGTGCAGCTGTCATGGAAATCAAGAAGACAAGCAGTGCACCTAGAGCACCCAGGGCATCTAATGCAGAGGACCTGGCACATGGGAGTGTGCAAATCACTAACATGACCAACAGCAGCTGACACAAGGGATGCAGTGTATGTGTGCACACAGCTGGGCCATATCTGCGCCCATCCAGGCTCTCTGCAGGGAATTTCCACAAGGAATTATTTCTATTTTTGCTGTGAAATGTGGTGCTGAGAGATGAGATAGGAAAATCTGTCACCAGACTTTTGAAATTCAAGCAAAGGATATAGAAAGACTGCCTATCTCTTCCTCAAAGGAAATATCCTGATAGATACACCATGGATGGGAATCTGCTCTGTATGTTTGGGATCTAATATACAGGGCTTGATGTAAGGAAGGATGGGTGGCCAGCTGCCTGGCTGGACATATGCAGTGAGTGGTTGGGTGTCTTTGGGGGAGTGGATGAATAGACCAATGAATGTCAGGTTGCTGGGTGGAGAGGAGGAGAGTAGGTGAGTGGGGAGGGGCGGATAGAAGTGGGCAAAAGATGAGGAAACTAAATGCAATGCAATTCAATTCCCTTCCATCTGAAGGGTCTGTGGGCCTCCCTCAAGCTCAATGCCCATCTCCATCTCCCTCTATGTCTCCCTTGTCCAACCATATTTTAGAGGCACAATTCATTTTTTGCATCTGAGAAGTTCTGCAGCATACAAGGCTAAAGAGCCCTGGGGCAAGCTCTGGATTCAAGATTTGGAAGTCATGGGCCCATCTGGTTTATTTCACAATTCTCTGAGCATCACACAGTTCTTTGTAAACCTAAGCCTCTGCCCCATGAGCCTGTGAACTTGCAAAGGCCGTGAGCTGTCGGAATGCTCAGTGGGGTGCTCTGGCTCTCATTTCCTGTTAAGTACCCCTTCGCAGGAAGAGAGCAGCTTGAGCTCAAACCATGCTTGGCTTCCCAGCCTTGCCTGTATATTCTCAAGGCAACATGCTCAACTCCATGAAGCCTGTCCTCATATTCTTGTCCTTGTGGGCTGTCCCTTCCTGATGCCTGTCAGCAGTGCTGGAAGGAGCTGGGGGTGGCTGGGTCAGCTGCCTGCCCTTAGATGGCACTGGCTGGGAGAGGCCCAGCCTGATCCAGAGCCACCCCTCAGCGCAGGCACAGGGGAGGTTTGGTGGCTTCTCCAAGCAAGATGTGGTTCTTCTGGCTGGTACCAGCTTCTTCACCAAGGGCCCATTCTGTGGAGGAGACGTGGCAGCCCCACAGAACCCTGAGTGGAGCCAGCACCCTCTCAGGCGGGCCGGGCAGGTATGGTCTCTCACAGGACCCTCACGCATCAAGTAGGCTTTCCACACAGCTGACAGCTCCGAGTGACTGTCCCCCAAGTCACAGACCTCCAAGGAGATTCCGTGCAGCCAGCCTATCCCCAAGAAAGCCACCTCCTATAGGATATATTGCCAGTCCTGTCCTCCTATACCCAGTGTACTCAACCCTACAATGCCCCCACCCACTTCTGGGGCTCCCATCACACAGGCAAACCTCCACAGCCTCAGAAATCTCCTCACAGAAGATCCAAGAACAGACCTGGCAAGGAGGTTGACGGAGGGAAGACTGTAGGATCCTGCTGAAGTCACCAGAGTGGCCAGGAGCACATCCCTGGTGCCCTGTTACCCCAGTAAAACCATTGCTGGACTCTGAAGGATACCTGCAAGGCCCGCTGGTCTTTCCTTGGTCCAGGGCCCCATCTCAGTACTTGTTCCTGGTTCTCCCTTTCTCCCAGCACTGAAGGTGATGTGTAGGCTCCAGAACCACCTCTTGCTGCCCCCATAAGCATGGCAGCTCTGGAAGTGGGCATAGTACCAGCCACCATCAAGAGCCTGCAAGCCCCAACTCCCTGGGGCTAACTAGCACTGGCCCTGGAGGCTGGGATGCCATCTCTCAGGGTGTCCAGGCAGTGCTGAGCAACAGACAGTGCTGAGGTGGTCCTGCCTCACTTCCCCTCAGGAGGCTGCTCCTTCCAGCTTGGGGGCCCGACTGGCAGGACAGACTTCCCCTCAGCCAAGTCAGATAACTGGCCCATAGAGCCTCCATTCCCCAGGCCTCTGCAGCCCTGATGTGAGGGGGGCGTATAGTCACTTGGTACACAGTGGGCAAAGGCACCCCTTCCTCATCTCACATCTGGAAACTGTCATATGCAGAAGCTGAGGCCCTGGACCAGGAAGGACCCCTCAGGCCTCCTCTGTGGACAGAAAGGAGGAGCCAAGCCAGGCGGCAGCAGGCAGAACTGGAGGCTCAGCCACCGGTGTGTAGTGGGGCCAAACTGGGGCTCACCCTGCAGAGGCACGCTGTGAGGTGGGCCGGGAGCCTGCAGTGCCCTCCTGCCGTCCGAGTTTGAGCAGACCTGGGTTCTTTGCAGATCGAGCAGGATGGCGTCATGGTGAAAGGCAGCCAGCACTTCAATCCAGACCCTGATGTGGAGACCATCTACAAAGCCATGAAAGGGATTGGTAAGTGGGGTCCGTGGCCTTGTCCTGGGAGCACTCTGACTCTCTGGAATCTTCCCACTCTGCTCAAGATCCCTCTTCTCACATCCCTGCGGATAGCTTGAGAGTCAGGATTATCCCATAACCCTGACTGCTGGGGCCCAGGTAGTCACACAGGCTGAAGCTTCTGTCTCCAGGTTCTGCATCCTTGAGAACAGGAAAGGGCTGGCTGAAGCCAGCCCAGATTTGGATAGCCTGGCCCAGAAAACCCTATGCAGATTTATACCTTCTCTGGCTCTGACTGCCCAGTTGGGGTATTAATGAGAACTCCCATTCCTGGACAGCTGAAACAGCATGTTCATGAGCTCTACTTCCTCTGAAACCTTGACTATTACCGCCACTCCCCAAAGGAGAAAACGGCCTGGGGAGATGAGGCTGCTTGCCCACTGGGCTCTGGGCAGGCATTCAGACCTAGTCATTGGTTCCTCAGGTCCTGGCCTTCCTCCACTGCCAGAAGCACATGGGCAGGCAGGACAGGAGGCCTCACTGTCTGGGCTCCCAAGGCCCGGGGAAATGGCCAGAGAAGATCAGGTAGCCAGTGGGTCCTCAGATTCTATCACTGTGTAACTGAACATGGGCTGCACCCCAACACTGGGTGTGTGGGAGATGGGGAATGGACAGATTTTCTGCCTGGGTGTCTTGTATCCACCATGAAAATTGTCAGATTTTGAAACCATCCAGGTGGTGTATCCCCATGGCTTGGCCTCCAAGCAGCTGCCCTCCCTCTGTCCCCCTGGGGGCCCTGGGCATGCTCACACTGTGCTCCCCTGCAGGGACCAAGAAGCAGGCCATCATCGATGTGCTCATGAAGAAAAGCAATGCAGTGCGGCAACAAATAGTCAAGTCCTTCAAGGCTCAATTCAGCGAGGTAAATGGGGGGCAGGTTTCCTCAGGGGGTTGGGGGGCCTGCTACTGTCAGAAACAGTCTAGGAGGAAGCTCACTCTGGACAAGGCCCCTGTCTGTAGGCAGCCCACTAGAAACATGGGCACATGTATACTCAAAATACTACTACTACTAATAATAATTATTATATTAAATATCATCTGAAGTTACAGTTTAACTAGTCATCCTGTGTTTTATCTGGCAAACTTACCTATGCCTCCCCACAACCCTGGCTTGGTGTGACAGCGGGTAGAAACACTTACAAGGGTTGTAGGGGAGGAGGAATGGGGACCCATGCCTGGGACCCCTTCCCCAAGAGAACCTGGCACTGGAATCCCTGAGCTCCCCCTTAGCCACCATTTGGAATGGCCACCTGCACCTTGGCGGAACACAGTGAGCTCACAACTGTCTGCATAGACGGCCACCAAACATAGACTGATTGGCTCCGCCACCAGGTGGCCACAGTGAAGCCAAAATCAGAATTTCTCAGGCATCACTGGAGCGACTGTGCAACACCTAGAAACAAACCTCTGCTGTCTCATGCCTGGTCCCCCAGATTCCCACTTCCTACCACCTGTCTTGCATTCACAGATGTTTAGGAGGACATCAGGACCCAGCAGCCATGATCATCTCCACTGAAAGGACACTTACTGTCCACATGCCAGGCGTTTTACACCTACTCTCTCTAATGCACCTTCAGGATGGGGGTGGCTTACTACCCTGAGTAAGGTGAGGACTACCTTAGGTTCAGGAAGGTGGAGCAACCTGCTCCAGCCACCCAGCTATGGAGGCAGAGCCGAGAGAGCTCTCTCATCACATCACTTACCCACAGTGCCCACCACTAGAGATGAATCCATGTGACTTCCCTCAGAAGCAGCCTCCAGCAGAGGTCCCCCTGAAAGAGGGCACAGCAGTGACCAGTTCTTCCTGGGGCTTTTGACAAAAGAGGGTGCAGATAGATCAGGAGGACACAGAAGAGCACTCAGCAGACAGAAGGTCTTATCCTCAGGGTTTAGGAACCAAAGAAGGCGTCGTCATTGAAATCCTGGCTTCTCGGACCAAGAACCAGCTTCAGGAGATAATGAAGGCCTATGAGAAGGGTAAGGGGCCTGCAGAAAGGGAGGGTGCAGGGGCCTGAGTTCAAGGCTCATTTGGGAATGAACACACGCTTTAGCAGCCTGGCAGAGGACAAAGGACAAGCAGTGTAGTGAGCCACATTTGAAAGGATCCCTTTCTGGGCTTTTCCACACATGGGTGCTGAGCACCTAATGTGTGCCAAGTACTGTGACTGATAGTGAGATTGGGCCAACTCAGGCTTGGTTTCTAAGCCCCCTCAGCCCCTGGCTGCTGAGAAGAGGGGTAGGCACCCACCAAACTCTCTGACCCTTTTGAGTGTGACAGTTCTGTGGGCCACAGGCTGTATCAGAGTGGATAAGGCTGACTCCTTCAGCCAAGCAGAGGTGGCCCCAGGGGACCATGCAGAGCCCCATGGCGACAGAGGGTGTGGCCTACAGACCAACCTATTGCAGAGTCTACAGGAGTCCAGGCAAGCAGAGGCCAGCCTGTTCTTCAGGAGGTCTGTCTGATGGCAAGTCTGCCTGAAGGTTCCAGCTTTGCCAACTGCAAGATGAAGCAGAGCTCCATCAGCCACCCCTGGCCGGACTCTCTGGCCTGACCCATCTTTGCACTGAGAGCTGGGGCAGCCATTGGTTGTCACTATCTAGTTCTGAACGACCACCAGTGATGAAGCCTCTGCCGCTCAGACACCTGGCAGTGTATCCACTCCACATGCCAAAGACTCGTCCTTCCCAGGAGGCTTTAATCAGGAGAACTGTGGGCAATGAGACTCTGAGGACAAAAGCAGGCCCTGAGCAGGCTCTGGGAAGAGGAACAAGGTCTACGCCTCATGTTCCTATTTCCCCTGCAGACTACAGGGCCAGCCTGGAGGAAGACTTCCAGACACCAGTGGCTACTTGGAGAAGATCCTTGTGTGCCTGTTGCACGTACCACAGCCCAGGCTCCTGGAAGGCCTGGCCCAGAGGATCCCAGCAGCTTGGCCCTAGGGAGTGGCTCTTGGGCAGAGCTGCAGCAAGGGGTGGGGGAGGCACTGCCCCAGTGGCCTAGGCTCAATGCATACATCTCAGGGTGGTTGAAGGGTTCTCCCTGCAGTCCATGCATCTCTCCTGACACAGCCACGTGAGGGCACACCACACAGGTCCTTCATGCCACGCCCCACACCAGGCCCATTGCTCACCTTAGCTTGCTGAATCCCACTGAATGGCCCTTACCCTTCTCATTTTACAGATGAGAACAACAGAGCTTGGAGAGGATAACTAGTTTGCTGAAGGTCCCATGGCCAAAGAGCATCAGACCGTGCCTGCCCCCTGCCCTGCTCTCCCCTCTGCCCACTGCTCTGGGTAGCCACCCTCCTTACAGAGCTGCCTCCTCTGTTCATAGGGCACCAGGGATGATGTGAGCAGCTTTGTGGACCTAGGACTGGCCCTCCATGATGCCCAGGTAAGGCTATGTACGTAGGCCCTCAGCATCTTCTGCCCTGCTGGGACCCTGGCCCCCCTCTGCCGTCCAGACTCCAGGCACTAATGCCTGGAAGCCTCACCTACCCCTCTGCCTATGGGAATTTTCTGTGATTCTAGCTGGGACCCAGCTCAGCTCCCTGCAGGCTTTTACCTTCTGGTGTTTGAGGAGGGAAGTGAGTCTATGGGGAAGACTCTGAAACAGGAAGGGGGTGGCTTGCATGGGGCCCACTGAAGCTCTATCCTGGGAGGAACAGCCCCCGTACCTGGGGACGGGGGGCCTCTGAAGACCAGGCGTGTATACTCAGCTTCTATAGGTCTGCATGCCGCAGAGGGCTTGGAGACTCCCAGGGGCAGAGGCAGGGGAGATCTGAGAGCAGCTTCTGGCCCAGTATCCAGAAGAGATTTAACCATTCAGGACAGCAAGCTCCCCATCAGAGATAATCAAGCAGAGGATGCAACCTGGCAGGCAGACGGGGCTGGACGGGCCTCACTCCCACCCCCTTGCTCTCTTTTGCTGGCTTATTGTGGGTATCCCAGTGCCAGGATCTGTACGCAGCAGGTGAGAAGATACGAGGGACGGGTGAGATGAAATTCATCACCATCCTCTGCACGCGCAGTGCCATGCACCTGATGAGAGGTACCAGGAGGGATGCATGTTGGGACCACTTCAGGGTGCTCTGGCCACAGGGCCTCCCCGTCATGCTGAATGAATATCCCATGTGCAGCCTTGTCCGGTCATGGAGTTGGGAGAGAGCCAGGGAGCCAGAGACCCTTTCCCCAACAGCCAAGTGAAGGTCAGGGGTGCTGTGCTCATGTGCAGTCTCTGATCTCAGATGCCAGGGGCATCGTGCTGAGATCTGTGTGTCCCCTGAGAGAAGCCCTCTCTCCACAGTGTTTGAGGAGTATGAGAAAATTGCCAACAAGAGCATTGAGGACAGCATCAAGAGTGAGACCCACAGGTCACTGGAGAAGGCCATGCTCACAGTGGGTAAGAGATGGAACTCAGTGTTCAGACTCAGGCATGCCCACTGCAGGGCTCTGGGTGAAGCAGTGGCCCAGAAGGCAATAGCAAGCACCTGGGTCCCCATGCTTGCCTTCAAGAGACCCCCACCCCAAAGCCCACACTCTCAGCATGTACCTTTCAGCCCAGGACACTGAAACTATTCCAGCTCCAGTGTCTTCAATGTGCTATGTCCTGCCAGGGGCTGTCCTCTGTGCTGCCCATGCAGTGCCCTGTGCTCTGCGGGTGAGTGAGCGAGCGTGTGCATGAACATCTGTGAGCATGTATAGATGCATGAGTGTACCCCTTTGCAGGATAATGCCAGACCAGACCCAGCAGCCACTCAGGGAGCATTCTGGTTCTGGCTGTGAGTCCCTGAAGCAGGTCACCTGTCTGGATCATAGCCAGGGGTACGGTCCATGCTTCAGTTCCTGACTGAAGAAATAATGTGTAGTTAGAGGCCCGACCAAGCTTGATGGTCTGACTCTGGGGAGCACTGAGAACCTTCCCCAAATCATGACGTCAGGTTCACTCTGGAGGATGTAGTCCAGAGCACATGCTGAGGCCCAGAGCTGAGGCTGCAGTGAGGGGAGATTGAAGAGCAGAGGCCCAGGGCACAGAGATTTTCCTCTCCTTCCTCCCCTGATGGAGCCGAGGTCAGGTGATCTGAGATGCTCATCCCCAACCAGGCTGTCCCCATTCAGTGCCAGGCAACCAGAGGAGCCCCAAGATGTGTCCAGGTCACTTGGGGTGGACTGGGACCTCCCACACTCCCTTATCAGGCTTTGATGGCTGTGATAAAATCCAATCTATGTTGGAACATCTAAACATGCTCCCTGCTCCAAATCTCAGCTTCCAAAGTCAGCCCCTGTATCCAGTTAGAACAAGCTTCTGAACAAACCTTCAGGCAGAGACAAGTGGAAGTATGCAGTGTCTGCTGTGCTGGGCACCCCTCTATTCACTTCTCCTTTGACATTCACATCATTCACTTCACAGAAGCAGACAGTAAAGGCAGGTTGGCAAATAATGAAATCACACAGAGCCATCAAGGTGGGGTGTGAACACCTGCCTACTTCACTCAGTTTCTGCTGCCCTGCACTGAAACACCAATGCCCCAGCCCACCCAGATGCCAAGTCTCTGCAGCAGCACCCACAAAAGTGAGCACAGGGCCCGCTCTTTGGGCCAGGTGTCCCTGGGTGCCTTAGTGCTCTGGGCCTGTATTTGCTGCCTCCCCCTTTTGCCGGCCTGCTCTTTGCCTTTGGAACTGTACCCATGCTCCAGACTGCCTTCCCTGTCCCACCCCACCTGACACAAAGCCTCTCATTTTGAAAGTAGGCAGGGCACAAGTAAATAGGCCAAGACTTGGATGATGCTAACCCAAGACATAAATAAATATGCGCATAATGCCACCTTCAACCTCTAGTTGCTAACAGAGCCTTCCTGTTTGCCAGTGAAATGCACCTGGAACCTCCACAGCTACTTTGCAGGGTGACTTTACTACTCCTTGAAGATAACAGTCTGGTCCTCTGTGCCCCTCCTCTCAGCCCTATGTGGCACCAACTGCCAAGCCAGGATCTCAGAACCACCACCACCTTCAATACATGGATCTTCTCTTTTCCCAGCCTCTTGTGGTCAGAATGCTTAGATCTCAAAGGGCAAACTGGGCCTAGGGAAGGGAAGCCTCATCTCCTCAAGGCTGAACTTGAGCAGTGTTTTCTCAGGTGTTCATTGCCATCCAAGAGATGGTGAACCTAAAGGTCTAGGTCAAAGTCACACAGGTAAGTGGAAGAGCCTTGATTTGAGCCCAAGCCAGTCTAATCCTTTATATCCCACTACATGGCCTCCTTGAGAGAGCACAGGTCAGCACTGCCAGTAAGTCAAAGCACCCTTTGAGTGGAGAGGTGCAGAGGGAGGTTGCCACATGCAGTGTTCAATGTCCACGCATGTGCCAGGGGTGCCAATCTAGGTTTGCCTGTTGTCTAAAAGTCTGTGCTAGCCACTCAGATGTCCAAGCTGCTTGAATCAGGTGGAGTTCCTGGTATCTGAACCAAACTGGAAGATAGACAATCAAATTAATTCTCCAAGACAAAATTCAGTGCCCACCTTCTCTGATTTATGGTTTCTAACACCACCTGAAGCGAGAACCCCATGCCTTCCGGGCAGCAGATGACAGAGAGCATGGGATTCCCTTGGCCATGTGGCCCTAGCCAACCTGAGACTAGTCAGGATGAAAGTGAGCAGGAAAATCCTGGTTGTGAATTGGCCAATTTAGCTGAATTTCAAGATGTTGCTGCCCTAAGAAGTAGTCTTCCTGGAGAAGTATTTTGTGTCTAGAATCTGATGTGGCAAAGAAAACACATAGAGCAGCTTGGAGCTTTGGCTTCTAATCAGGGCGGTGAGTGAGAGATTAAGGGAGTGGCAACCCTAAACCACTAAATCATCCTTCTAGTGATTGTTGATTAGTGTGTCTTGTTCAGGAAGCAGGGACACATGATGGGACCCTGATAAGAAATATCATTTCCAGGAGTGAGATTGACTTTAATCTTATTAAGCGTCAGTTCAAGAAGATATATGGCAAAACCCTGAGCAGCATGGTCATGGTAAGCCATGAACTTCCAATTCTAATGCCAGGTTGAAACAGCAATGTTACTGGGAGACCTGGATGCTGTGACCAGTGCTGTAAGTCACATGTGTCCATCCCTTCCCAGTGGGTGTCACACTCTTGTACTTGCTGCCATGTGATAGACTCAGGAACCAACAACGAGGTCAGGGTGGCTAGGGCCTATAGGGTAGGCACACAGAAACCAGACTGTGGAGGCGTGGAGACCCCTGTACATCACGCCCAGAAGTTTGGCTTTGCATTTGAATTATGATTGCCCCTTTGAAAATAACAGACTGAATCATTGCAGAAGGAACCATATCTGAAGAGTCAAGGACAGTAAATAGTTTAGTGGGAGCCAAAGTATAACATTCAAATGCAGATTTAAGTAGTACTTGAAAGGGTATCTCCCTGCGACCCTCCTTACCCCAGAGCAACTCAGGAGACTGGGGCCCGTGCAAGAGATTTTATTATCCGAAAGAGAAAATAGCTGCCCCCAGAGAGAGGGAGCAGCAGCTCGTGGGTGAGAAAGCACGTTTTTAAGGAGTAAGGGTAGGGTGTGTTCTGCGTTGGTGATTGGATCTTAAGGGGTGGGGGTCTTAGCGTGCCAGAATTTGCCTTCCTACTGCACCCCTGCCTGCAGGTGTGGCACTGGGCACCCTGCTTTCAGCCTCAGTTCTCTGATCTGCAAAAGTAGATGTTGAATAAATGAATGGCTGGGCATGCCTGGGTCATGAATGAAACATGGGGCAGAGCCCTGGGGGACCTGAAGGGATAAAGGGGACACTGAAATGTCTTCCTTGCTCAAGAGAACTGTCTCTGATTCATTTTTCACATTAATCCCCACTGTAGGTAGCAAGAGAATAAAAAAAGAGGTACACAGGAATAGCCTGAAGTAGAAAACAAGGAAATATGAGTGACAGCATGAGGCCTGTGGCGTAGGAGCCACACAGAGATGTTCCTTCATGGAACCCATATCCTCAGAACATGCTTGAGCTTGCAAACTCCCTCTTAAAACTGCACCCTAAGGAGTTGGGATGTACCCAGGAGCAGGAGCCAGGCAGAACAGTGAGACGAGAGCAGCAGAGGCTTTGAGCTCACACAGATGCAAAGGAGATTCTGACTCTGCAACTCTGACCTGATCACTTCCTCTCTCTCTCTCTCTCTCTCTCTGAGCCTCAATTTCCTTACCTTCAAATGCAGGAGTGGACTCCCAGTTAAATTTGCTGCATTTCAAACCACCCCGTGCTAGTGGTGTAAGACCACCATTTTATGAAGCTCATGGGTTCTGTAGGTCAGGAATTCATCTGGGGCACAGTGTGGGGAATTTATCTCTGCTTCAGCAAGACTGAGGATCCTGTTGAGAGGACCTGAAGCTCTGGGGGAACTCTAAGGCAGAGTGCTGGAATCATCATGAGGTTTCCTTCCCTCATATTGCTATGGCCTGTCCAGCATGGGGCCTCAGGGTCCTGGGACTCCTGAAGTGGTGACTCAGGGTTGTACTGCCTTCTGTGACATAATCTCAGGCGTCACACAGATCACTTCCACCATGCCCACCTGGTCAAGCACATTACAAGGTAGCCTAGCTTCAAGAGAAGCTGACATAGGCCACATCTATCAGTGGAATTTGTGGATCATTTCCCTAAATGCCCAATAGGCAGTTTAAAATATTGAACAGTGAGTGCATCACAACCCACCCTGTGAATGGCAGCTATCTGTAAGGCTGGAGCATGTTCCAGAAACCCATGCTAGGGCCAGGCCAATCCTCACTGGTGGGATTCAGGGCTGTCTGTGGGGCCCCAGATGAGACTCTCAGGCAGTAATGATTCTTTTTTAAGTTCAAATCCTGCCCTGGACTTTTCTTTCAGTGCTAAGTCACTGAGTCACATTTTGCCAAAGCCACTTAGAAAGGAATTAGAGAATCCCTCTGCCCTGCAGTACCTTCAGGATACAGTCAGAATGCTGCTTGGCACATGATTCTCCTGAGGCCAATCCCAAAAACATCCTGACACAGCCAAAGGGAGCCTCAATGAAAGCTGCAGCCACAGAGATGGCTCAGGAAGTGTCATGTCCAACTATATGCCCAGCAACTAAATCTGCTTCAGCAGAACCATGCAGTTCATCCATCACTCCCAATGGAGCAGATGGTGCTCCCCACCCCCTGTCTCCACGGAGTGGAAGCAGAAGGTCTCCTGCAATCAGAGAGATGCTCTGTCCTCTGGGGTCACAGCTGGAGCACTGGTGGCCTCACATGAGCCCTGTCTAGCGGAGGACATTCTCCAGAGAAGGGTCAGCTAGGTGTTATAAGCTGACTCATGGTGGCTGGAGAAAGGGCACTGGCTGGCAAAGGACTTGGCCAGATCCCTGGTAGTGTCCTCTGCACTTCTAAATCATTTTTACTGGAATAACCTTTTGGACTTCTGTTAAAATAGACACATTCCTGAAGTACTCTTGCAATTGCTCTTTGGGATTTCTTCTATGCATCTGTGCTCTTAAAGATAATTTAGGGTCTGGTCTTTGATTGCAGCAAAGGAAAGTAGTGAGAGGCTAGGTACTCGCTGCTTACGGCCTAGTCACAGCCCTGTAATGTGAAATTGTTTTGTAAGTCTCCATGGAAGGTTATATATTCGTGTTTCCTTCTCCACCCTCAGATCCAAGGTCTTTTATTCTCTGAAGCTAGATTCCCTTTCTTCCTTTCCAATGCTGGCTGGTGGGGAAGGGCATCACCCTTCTAGTAAACTAGATCTAGTAAACTGAGTTCAGAGTTTGTCCAACAGCAATGATTTGAGACATAATTGTCATTCGTCTCAGGATTCTGTGAGCTTTCCAATGGCCTTTCCCAGTTCCTTTCCTGCTTGAATGTTCCAGAGTGGATGCTCTTGTTAGCAACTAAGAGATCTCTCTATTGCATAGATTCACTGCCCTTATGGTGTCTGAGGATAATTGTCTCTTTATGTGTCTCTCTCAAAAAAGCCATGAGCCCCTTGAGGGCAAGAACTTAGTTGTATTCATTTGTGAACACTCAGTGCCTAGCATAGAGCAGACATTTGACAAATGTTTTTGAAGGAACACAAACAAGAATATAGACTTTGGGGATGGAAGACCAACTAGCCGGTGAGCAGGAGCCAATCTATCATCCCTGATTCTGAGAAGCTGCTCTGGGCCTCTTGGAGTCCCCTGAGAAGAGAAGCCTACTTGGCCAGACCTAATGGAAATAGTTCTGAAAAGAATCTAATGGAGAAGGCAACTTCCCTCAACTCTTTTGGCACCTACTTGGCACTTGTTTCAGGTTCTGACTCTGCAATGCCGAACCAACCCAGCAGACCTGCCCCCCTGCTTGAGCCCCTTTGGAAGAGCTCGCCCCCCTGACCTCCAGCCCAGTAGTGTTATACAGGGGACAGCCGCAGCCAGACACATGCCCACAGCGCTAGTTTCATGCTCCAGTGGGCAGGGCTTGGCCTCTTTCACGTTTGCCTTGACAGGGGAAGGGTCATCTAGCTGCGGGTTGAATACTCAGGCAAAATCAGACTTCTCTTGGCAAGGAGTAAAAGGCAAATAGATCTGTGGTCAGTACCCTACACTTTCTGTTACCACAGCCAAGCATTCTACCTGCAGCCAGGTAGGAGCTAGCCAAGTAAGGCTTCATAAGGAAGGCAGTGCTTGAGCAGAATCTCAAAGGATGACTCAGTGCTTATCAGGTAGACAGGACAGGGAAGAACATTCCAGGAAGAGGGAGGAATGCAAATATATCAGAGTCTGGTCTCTATCAGAATGGTATGTGCATGCCACCAGAGGTAAGAAAGTCAGAAGACCAAGATGTTGTCAGTTGCCAAGTCAGGGAAGGCCCAAGCTATCAGGCTGGGAAGTTCAAACTATTTCCAGGGACAGCAGGAGCCTTTAAGGCACCAGGCAGGGGAGCATCTGGGTTGGATCTTAGTAATAATTCTAGCAACACTACAAAAGGTGAGTGTGCCTGTGAGGGAGTCCAGCACTGAAGCAATTACCAACAGTAATTCCCTCAGACCTTCCAGCCTAGGGCTTGGGGCCCTGGGACTAATTCCCTAGAAGAAGGCTGGCCTTGGCTTCCTTCTGTCATGGTGATAGAAAATCTCTCTATATAATTGTAATGTAGCCCCAGGCCACTGAGTCTTCATCCTATAGTAAAAACAAATGCTGATTTCCAAAGCTCCTACCGTAAGTAGTTGAAATAGCTCTCTGAGCCATGGGCCTGAGCATGTGAGTCCAGGGACATCCATGCCCCACACAGGTCTTCAAGGACTCCCATGATTAAGCAGAAGTTATCCCTGATGTCCCAGTGGCCTGTAATACCTTTGTCCCCACTGCCAGCCCATTCCTGGCTCTGGGCCTGGGCTTTGGGCTGTGCTCTGATGGAATCCTGGGGCTTGGAGTTGAGGACTGACACCATCTCTGTAGTGTATTCTGGAATTGAACTCCCAAACCTGGACTTCTGGGGTGCCTTACACTCTGCTTTGAGGGAACATTCTCACCTCCCTCTCTGTGTGTAAGTCAGTGTCTCCCCAGGGCCACAACGTTACAGCCAAAAATTCCTAGATAGAACCCAGTATCTTGCTTACTCGCAGGAGACTTTGTTGCTCAAGTGACAGGTTGGCCATGGGTGAACCACGACCTCCCATTACCCCTGTGTCTGCTGTCTATATCTCCTCATAGGTAAGTTCCCCATCCCCCACCTCCATCCCTGTCATAAATTGGTCCTAATTGAAACAGGACTCAGTCATCCATGCCCTTGCCCCTGGTTGGTGGAATAGAGGTCATCCCTTCCTAACCTAGGGTAGGCTGACCCACCACAGATGGGATGCCAAGCTCTGCCATGTTCCCCACTTCTCCATGTGCCGATCTGAATGGGGTCCATGGCCTCACGTTGCAACTCATTTCAGCCCTTCCTCTTCTTCCTAGGCTGCTTCTGTCCACCTGACAGCCCTACTCCCAGAGCTGTGTTCTGAGGGAACCCATCGGCCAGGGTGGATCCTTCCACATCCTGAGTGAAGTCACTGCTCTGCCCTCCTTCCTGCCTCCCCACATGACTATACATGATTATAAAGACTCCCACTGCCCCCGGAGAGCCAATACCCACCTTGCAGAAGCAGTCAGGACCCAGCACTGCATCCAAGCTGCAGGCAGCATCAAGCTGGCCTGGAAACCTGCTCTCACGATGCCTTCTGTGGCCAGCTTCAACCAACAGAAAGCTTAAATGTCAGCAAAGGTGCTGACTCCCACTGCCTAGGCTGAGGGTGC